AAGCCCAATACCTATATAACTTGGTCCAACTATCTTGGAAAGTTTAATTGGCTTGATTTAAAGGTTTCGGGTTCACCCAAACTAATGACCTGAGTTTCGGGGCATTACAAAAATAATATAATATTACCTAAACACATACTTCTACAAAATTATCCATGTTACAGAAAAAAATAGATATAATGATATTTAAGAAAATGAAAATTCAAACAAAAAATTTGACCATCTATGAAATAAGCTGACAAACATGTGATCATGGTAGCAGATAGTCAAAACTTTATTTTAGTATGAGAATAAAGTATTTTTTAGTTTTTTTTTAATTTAATAACTTTTTAAATTGATTTTTTATATTTTTTTATAATTTCAAGTTTCACATAATTAAAGGGATTGAAATAAAAAAAAACTATTAAATTTAAAAATTAATATAGGTCGGAATAAAATTCAAAACTAAGAAAAAGAATATTACTAAATTTCTAGAACTAAAAATTATTTAGGGTAAATTATACATTAGTACCTAAATTATTAATTTTGTTCTATTTTAGTTCCTAAATTTTATTATTTTCAAAATCATACCTAAAATTTAGTTTAAGTTTCATTTTGGTACACCTCTCTTAAAAATTTAATAGTTGCCAACTTGAATATAATATCTTGCACAATACTCATATTCAAGCCTCTCTCTCTCTCTCTCTCTATATATATATATTACAATTTCAATTCATTACAATATAATAAAAAAATCAAAGCCAAAAACTATAGGAGAATCGACAATTCTTTACTCATTTATTTCATTTATATTTGTCATCATTAGTTTGAACTACTTGTTTCAATGGAGAAAACATCCAATAAAGCTTCCCCCAAACCCAGCTTCACTCCCCATAATCGGCCACCTTCACCTCCCATCCACCGTTTGCACCATAGTTTTTCTCAAAAATATGGTCTCATCTTCTTCCTCAACCTCGGTTCCCGCCTCATGGTCGTGCTGTCGTCTTCGGCTGCAGCCGAAGAATGCTTGGCGAAGAACGATGTCGTTTTCGCAAACCGACCCAAGTTCAACATCGCCAAGCACTTGGGATACAATAACACCACGGTTGTCTCCTCGTCATACCGTGATCATTGGCGCAACTTACGTCGTATTGGTGCCACTGAGATATTCTCACCGGCTCGCCTAAACGCCACTGTAAATGCTCGTAAAGACGAAATGTGGTGCTTGTTGGCAAGACTATCGAATGAATCACTTGGAGAATTTGCCAAAGTGGAGCTGAAATCCATGCTTTCCGACTTGATGTTTAACAACGTGATGAGGACAGTGGGGGGGGAAAAGGTATTAGGGAGATGAATTGACTGACGAAGAGGAAGCGAGGGAGTTTAGGGAGCTTATGATGGAGGTAACTATGAAGAGTGGAACGGGGAATCCAGCAGATTACTTGCCGGTTCTGAACTGGTTCGGTTTAGGGTTCGGAAGGGAGCTGAAAAAGCTTGCACAAAGAATGGATGTGTTCTTGCAGAAGTTGATTGACGACCATCGAAGCAAAAGCTGCAAAATAACGGTATGATTCATCATCTTCTTTCCATGCAACAGCCTGATCCTCTTTACTACACCAATGAAATTATCAAGGCTTCATAATGGTTAGTTTCAATCCTTTCTCATCTAAGAAAGTTCGTCTTTTTAACATAAAATCTCGCGTTTGTCTCTAAATATCGATAGTAGAACTGGGTTAACAAATTAACATTGTTGTGTGCAGGTGATCATAATGGCAGGAACTGATACATCATCAGTGACAATAGAGTGGGCAATGGCCAATCTGCTAAACCACCCACTAGTATTGAAGAAAGCCAGAGATGAAATAGACAGTTTAATTGGTGAAGAAAACTTGATTGAGGAATCAGATGTTCCCAAACTTCATTACCTTCAAAGTATCATGTACGAGACACTCAGGTTATACCCTGCAGTTCCTCTTCTCATCCCACACATGCCATCCACTGATTGCACCATAGGCGGATACGACGTGCCGAGTGGCGCGATCGTGTTGGTGAACGCGTGGACTATTCATCGGGACCCGAAAGCATGGGATGATCCGGAAAGCTTTAAGCCGGAGAGATTTGATGGTAATGGTGAGAAAATAGAGCAGTCTCACAAGCTGTTGCCGTTTGGGTTGGGAAGGAGGGCATGCCCAGGGGCAAATCTAGCTCAAAGAATGGTGGGATTGGCTTTAGGATCATTGATTCAATGCTTTGAATGGGAAAGGATTGATGGGAAGGAAATTGATATGATTGAAGGTAAAGGAAGCATCATGCCTAAGGCTCACTCATTGCAAGCTTTGTGTAAACCTCGTTCCACAGTGAATAAGGTTTTTTATTAGAATGTTTTGATTCAATTTGTTTAAATGTTTCTCATATTTGGTTGAATACAGTGCAATAGGTTTAAGTGATATAGTATAGCTAATTATCTACTATTCTTGTTTAACATATGGATATTTCTTTTGGGATGATCGAATTGTATTTTATCTTAGTAAGTGCTTGCAACGTATGGAATAAAACTTAGTATATCCTATACATTTATAACTTAATTTTCCATTTTCCAAAAAAAAATACTTCTCATAATTTCTCATCTGAATTTGATTGATGTCATGTATTTATTATTATTATTATTATTTTTTAATTGGAAAAGAGGCCTAGAAGATTACATTAAACTCTTTAATACGAGTGGCCAGAACCGTCACACTCTACCAGCTCGAGAACATACGGAGGGGCAGCGTCAAAAAGAACGACGTTCAAAGAGACATGGTCCTCAAGCCTTGTAAGTTTGTCTGTCACCTTGTTACATTCCCCTGGAATCCATTGTAATTTGGTAGTCCACGAGTTGAATCTCAATTTGTAGATCGCACGCACCAAAGCCATATTGCTATCGGCTCCATCTTTATCGTCGATCATCTTGATTGCATTTAGGCAGTCAGTTTGGACAATCACTCGTTCATAACCATTTTCTCATGCAATCTTTAAACCAGTGAATATTTGCCACAATTCAGCTTGGAGTGATGAGCAGTAACCAGTCGAATGTGTAAAGCCCAAGATCCAATTTCCTTCACAATCTCTAAAGACTCCGGCTGCAGCACTTCTTGATGATGTATTTATTATTTTTTAAAATAGAATAATAACGCTTCATTTGGTTTCAGAAAATAAGGATTATTCTTTTTTTTCTTCCATTTCCTTACAAAATTGAAACATTAAAGATAATGTTTGGTTAAAAAATTTTAAAATTATTTTTAAAAAAATAAAAAAAGATTATTATTCTCTCTAAAGACCCTGAATTTAAGTAATCACATCTGGAGTGTACGGGATATCAATAAAATTAGAAAATTTCTAAACAAATACTACATTGTAATCACTTCACTTCAGGTTGCATATAAGATCCATTGTCATCAGCTTTAGATAGTTTCACATTTCATGCCAATGAAACAAAAACTGAGCATCACTTTCTTTTCCTTCTTTTGCCTCCAAAAGTCACATTCGGCACGATCAGATTGTCAAATTTTCTGTTCAATTTGAGGCTTTACAACTATGCATGATGATTTCGAAACAAATTATGGTGATCATAAATTTACACACTTCAGTGCCATAAAACATGTTTAAGAATTTTGAGTTCAGTGTATGTAATATTACTAAGACGTCCTCAATAAAAATGTGGAAATGGTTTTGGAAACTGACATTAAATTTCACAAGTAGAGGAGCAACAGAAAGTAACAAATAACAACCTGGAGACATCCTTAATAAAATTGTGGAAAACGGTTTTGGTAACTCAAAAGATGAGAGGCAAAAAGAGGCAAGATGAACTTTTTTAACAGTTTGAAATTCATTTCTTGAAGCTGAGAAAACTGATGTTGCAGGATGAAGTAAACACAACTGAATTGATTTTGTTCCTAAACTGATGTTGCAGGATGAAGTAAACACAACTGAATTGATTTTGTTCCTAAACTGTCTTTCTGAAAATGTCATTCAACACCATTTTAGTACACGTTTCTTCAGCTTCAATACTTCAAACTGAAGCTAAAGTTTTTTCTTAACCAAGGAAGAATAAAGCAGGAAACAACAAACCTAAAATAATTAAGATATCATCTAATTGCTGGCATTGAGGTTTCTAAGTTATTTCATATCAATTAGTCTTTCTTATATACAAGTACTAAGACTGACAAAGTACTCTGCAAGCACCATTAGATACTAGTTTCTAGGAACCTTGGGTTATTAAGATAATATGAATTTGTGATTTTCTCCTCGGTTCCTCTCCGTATTTGGTTCCCTAAATTTCTATAGTTCCCAACTTCTGGTCTCCCTCTTAAATTTTCCATCTATTCTCTACTTCCCCTCCAATTTTATGCAGCACTTATTCATTCCAATCAATCCTATCTGCGCTGCTTCAAAATTCTAACTGCTAAAACGTTCTGGAATGAACATCACATCATTCTTATATCTACCATGACATTTCGGTAGGGAGATTTTTTTATTCTAATCGAGGTGCAAGGTTATAGAGGTTGCAAAGTATGATATCCAAGACTAGGAGTGTAAATTCTGTACAGCCAACAATATTCAGCAAGCATATCATACTCTAAATTCCATGTCATTAAGATTTTAAACCCGTTCAACAAGTACAGAAGTTCTAAGGAGCTTCAGTTTGTTTTCAAATTTGATAAAATAGAAGCACAAGCTTAATGTCCATTTCGCTTTGGGTATCGGTATCGGATCAAATGCTCCATTACAAGCAACACCAAGTTTATGTAGGTAAGAATCTACTCACAGCATTCTAGTGTATCTCCACCATAAAACATTTCCAATGATCCAAGTTAAACTTTTAGATATCACTATCAAACAATCTATTCATCCCATCTAATATTAGCAAGTCGTTCCCGGATTGCTCGTGATAATAACTATTCAACTCAAGGAAATTTCATTAACATTTGAAGCTCACAAGTATACCATTTAAAAATACCAGATATTTATCAATAAAATGTGCAATATGAAAGAACATAGAAAACATATAGTGTAGACCAAACTGAGAACTTATCAACAAAAGGGCCGGAATATACAAACTTCATCATCTCAACTGATGAACAATATTCCACCAGTTTTAGAAGAAATACTCATCGCCTATTCAGAGAATCCTCTATAACCAACCTCAAGCGACTCCCCAACGCATCAAATTCCGAGACCCTTTGCTCCTTCCACTTCTTCTCCGTCGTATCGAAGCAAATCACACCCTGCTTCACGAAGATCATCCGAGCCTCATTGAAACACTCATCAAACGCATTCATCACGCTTTTTCCCAAGACCCCATCAATTGCCTCGCCATCAAACTTATTACCATTCACGCCACCTTCATCAAGCACATTCCCAGGAACGCTATTGATTTCATGATCCTGCGAAAACCCGGGAGAGTTGTTACCGAAAGGGGAAGTGGAAGCGAACTCAGGACCCCAAAGCCTTCGTGAAAGATCAAACAAAGCCCGATCATGAAGGGAGAGAGAAGAAGGGTTCAACCCTCGTGCAAGCCTAGAGGAGACGACCCTGAACTTCTTCCGGAGTCTTCTAAGCTTTTCGGAGAGCTGGGATTTGGTGTAAGGATGGGACATGGAGTGGGAGAAGGAAGAGTAGAAAAAAGGGAGGTCTTTGGGGAAAGAGAGGGAAGGGGATCGGAGGAGGGATTGGAGGAAACGGATCTCGTCGGGCTCAGACCAGATTCGCTGGAATTTGAAAGGAGGGGTGTGGGGTTTGGGGAGGATGATGGGTTGGAATTCGTGTTGAGGGGCTTTGCGCTTGATTGGGAGTTTGGAGGCTGAGGGTTTAAAGGGCTGTGATGGGTTGGAAGCCATGCCTACTCCTTTTTCTTTTCTCTTTCCTTTGGGAGTGGTTAGGACTCGGAAGAACTGAAACACCAGGCCCTGGCCGAGGGTGCGGAATAATAATTCAAAAAATTAATTTTACCCTCAAATTCCTAAAATAATAATTTAGTCTATTTATCCATTATTAATTACATCATCAGTTACTGTTAATTATCAAATTAAAAATATTAATTATTATATTAATATTGTGAGTTGTTATATCAATATAGTTTTAATCAATGACGGAAATTATTAATCAAACGCATCACATTAATTTTGTTATGTGCTTAAAGATTACTCTAAATATAAAAAATAATTTAAAGATTATATTGTTTTTTTATAAAGTTAAACGACCTCACATAATCACATAAGTTAAGCTAAAAATTAAATATCTAAAATAAATAAAAGACATATTCAAATATTTTTTTAATTAATTCAAGATGATATTAGTATGAATTTAATTTAGGCTAAACTTTTAATAGTCCCTTTTGTTTTTTTGTCTAACCGAGTTTGATCATCGATTTTTTAATTAAGTACACTTAATCCATCACGTTATCTGTTTGTTCAGTTTAAGTCACTGTGTCTTTAACTTTCGTTAAATAAGTCCGAGTTGACAATTAAAAAAAAAACTCACGTGTTTCTTCCTTCTCAACACCCTTATTTTTTCCCTCTTCTTCTTCTGATCAAAAGATCCACGTCTTCTTCTTCTTCTCACCAACACCCTTACCTTTTCCACATAAAGGGTCATGTGTTTCTTCTTTGTCAATAAACCTGAAAAAAAAATAGTGGACAATTAAGTAGCCACCAATTTAGAGACAACTAGCTGTTACCGAAAAGTTAAACAAAAAATTGAACAAATACAGAAACTCAAGCAACATATACATATAACAATGAGAAGAAAAAAAATGTAGTTCACAAACACCAAGATGTCGTAAGCTGAGTCGATACATTTAACTTGTATCCTATCATATTTATTTTTTTCATTTTGAAAGTCAAATAAGATCGAAAAGTCAAAGGCTTTATCTAGAGACACTCTGAGACCCATTGGTCCGCATCATCATTTAAATTGCTTATTCCCCCATGTTTAAAGGTACCCAGCAGCATATCATTCCGTCAATCGAATATTAAAAGTTATTTATACGTATATTATTAAAACCCTTAAGCCCGGAGGAGGAGGACAGGAGAATGAGAAGAATGTGCTTTTAGTGCCTTTCATATTAGTAATTTCTTTGCAAATTTTCCTGAGTGGCATTTCCAAAATAGCTAGGAAACAGTCCATTATCGACTTCACAGACTAACAAGCGGAAGTAAATAAGCATACAACTTTGGAAACAGTCCATTAAATTGCTAATGTTGGTTGGCCTTCGTGGCCATTGTTGCCTTTGTCAATGCAAGGTTCATGGACCCAAAAGTCTTGTTGGATTTTTCTAGCCTTGTTTGTTCAAGGAAGAAATGAATTGATCCCGTGTTGTCTTGATGCCACCATAGGCAACACTTTATGATTCAAAAAGTGCCATTATTTGACCACAAACCGTCTCGTTTCAATAAGATGGTACAAGCACCAACTTCTGAAATTCTAAACATAATTACATCAAGCATGCATTTAGATATATAAAATCAATCCAAATTTGATAAACTTATTTCCCCTGCACATTTTGAGATTCATCTTCCAACCACAAATGTAGAAATGACATTAGAGAGAGCAGAGAGGTGACTAAGATTCCCTCTAACAACCAACATCGTTGGATCAAATTTTGATCCTGACATCTCTACCATCTAACGAGAAGCAAATTCCTTATAAAAGACCTATTTGAGAAGATGGAAGGCAACTTTATCAACATATTTTCAATGCATTCACACTCACAATTCCTCTAGATGAGGCAAATCACATACAAATAGTTATAAACTCGCACACAAAAAAGTGAGGAGAAACACATGATCTAAGGCATTTTTTTGTAATAAAATAATATGTTCTCGTTTCTACTTAAAAATACGTTATGTAATTGGATCTCATCTATAATGTGCGTGTGTGTGTATAAAAGGTAATAAAATGTAAGCCCTTGAGTTGGATCAACAACCCCAACTAGAGCCTAGTCAATGCAACGCTCCAACCAACTCAATCCAGGTTCAGCCCAATTCAAACAAAAGTGAAAAAGACAATCCAACTACACCAAAACAAAATGTTAGATACACCAAAAATGTAATATATAATAGAGAAAATCGCCTCAGTGACCAAAAAAAAGTTATAATATACGATTTTAACCAACTTTTTTTGGATTTGCCAAAATGACCAACAAAATCGCAACGCGAAATAAAAATCGCAACGCGATCCCCAGAATCGCAAATCAGTTTCCAAAATCGCAACGCGATTCTTGAAAATCGCAATGCGATAGTACAAATTCGCATTGCGATTTTCCAAAATCGCAACGCGAATATGAAAATCGCAACGCGAACACATAAATCGCAACTCGTATCCGTAAATCGCAACGTGTATCCGTAAATCGCAACGCGTATGGGTAAATCGCAATGCGTATCCGTATATCGCAACGCGTATCCGTAAATCGCAACGATAATACATAAAATCGCAACGCGTATCCGTAAATCGCAACGCGATATTTAAAGCGCCATTATAATCGCTACGCGTATTTTATTTTCAAATTACAAAAACGAATATTAAGACAAAATCCCGTAATCGCAACTCATAACCTAAAACCTAAAATCACAACTCAGTCCCATCTCCATCTCTCACTCTCTACGGCGAAGAAATCCGTCCCCATCTCCGAAGATTTCCGTCCTCATCTCCGGCGAAATCCCTCACAACCATTCACGGTCAGAAATCCCTCACAATATTCAGAAATGGAAAATCAACCTCCGAGGGTTAGTTTTTTTAATTATTTTATTTTGAAATGTTTGCATTATTGTAGGTTTTTCATATTGAAACTGATGATAAGTTTACTGGTCATTTCAATAATAGATTAACCATTTCACTTAGATTTCATTTCGCGTTACGATTCTGTCGTTGCGATTTTCATTTCGCGTTGCTATTCTCTCGTTGCGATTTTCAAGTTAGTATTTGTCTTTGTCTTTGTTCTGTCTTTTGGTTGAAGTAATGCAATCCATTCAAGTTTCAATTTGCAGAAGAGTCGCAACGAGATAAATGAAAATCGCAACGAGAGAATGACTGTCGCAACGAGAGAAATGAAAATCGCAACGAGAGAATCGCAACGCGATATGAAAATCGCAACGAGAGAATCGCAACGCGAAACCAAAATCGCATTGCGATTTTCATTTCGCGTTGCGATTCTCTCGTTGCGATTTTCATTTCGCGTTGCGATTCTCTCGTTGCGATTGTCATTTCGCGTTGCGATTCTCTCGTTGCGATTTTCATTTCAACCAAAAGACAAAACAGTGTTGCAAATTTTAGTTTCAAGAATAAACTACTACTTTTTATGTTTATTGTTTTTGGTATATCTTCACAGTGTAGTTTTTGGTATATCTAACTTGGTATGTTTATTGTTTTGTAGAAATTTTTTTCGGCTCAATTGACCTTGAGAAATAAAGTCAGCCTGGCCACTACAATTGCTTCGAAGCTTTCACCTGCTCAAAGACAATTGTTTGAGGAAACCTGCTTCGGGCCATGGCTGAGAGTACAGCATCCGGGTGGAGATGCTAATTTGACCCATTTGTGGCTTCAGACCATGACATCAAATCTACCCGACAGTATACAACGTGGTGAGGAAGAGATATGGTTTCATTTTCCACCAGCGTATACTTGTTTGGGCGGAAGGAGTTCTGCTTAATCACTGGTCTACGATTCGGACACGATGATGTAGGCCGGTACACTCGTCATATCGCCCGCCCATCATGGTTATCCCGGGTTTTTCCGGATGAGTCAATGGAGAAGCCGAACCTACATGTCGACGACCTGAAGAAATTGTTTAATAAGAAAGCTGGTTTCACTCGGATGGATGACGTCGATGTTGTCCGAGTATGCCTTCTACTACTTGTGTATGCCGGCTTTTTAGGCAGAGAGGCCAGACAACCTATTCATCGGGAGCTAATAATATTGGTAGAGGACCTGAATGCATGGAATCTGTTTCCGTGGGGTTCGTATATATGGAAAGCTACCTGGACTAAGTTGTCGTCTGCCTTTGATGACCGCAAAAGTTTGCGGGGCGATGGGTCCAAATACACTTTGTCAGGCTTTGTTTGGGCCTTTAAGGTAAGAATTTCTATATAATGTTTCTAAAATTATAATTAATTATTTAACAATTACTAATTTTGTTATTATATTGTTTGTAGATTTGGATATTCGAGGCTTTCCCCAGCATGCGTACATATGCAATAAAAACGTCAAATGATATTCCCAGGGCTATTTCCTGGAAGAGGAAAACTCTGTTGGATTGGGAAGACTTAATACCATATGCGACAATAAATAATGTAAGTTAACACAAATACTTTCATATAATATATAAACAAGTTATTAATAGTAGACGTTTAACTTTGTTTGAGTTTTTATATTTTAGGAGGCCAACATTCCATTACAAAGACTGACACCCACGGAGGAAGAGCTTGCCACTGATTGGTGGCAAGCTAGTCAGAGTTTTTTTGATGGCACGGATGATGAGCAGCATCCACTTCCTCCAATTCGAGAGCCATCACCTCACCTAGAGCCATCACCCGATCGACCCGACTATACACCTCTAGAACGAGAGCCATCACCTATCCCGTCACATCATCGAGCCTCTTCTCCACCATCACCTCATGATAGGCGACCGGCAAAGATGCCACGACTCCTATCTCCCTGTTCTCCACCTCCACCTCAACGGGATGAGTCAAGGGAGTTACGTGATGAGGTCAATGCCTTGCGTGAGGAGATCGGTACTCTACGCGATAACGATGGTGCATGGCGTGTGGAGGTGTCAACTTTACGTGGTGAGGTTGCCGCTCTACGTGAGATGATAGTATCGTTGCAGAATGAGGTTCATACTCTACGCAACGAGGTAAGTTTAAGATTTTCCATATTTAACTTAATGAT